GAGGGAGGGAGGGGTAGATAGGTTAGAATACAGAGAGAGCTGTCTGTTTTATTCTGATATTGCTATGGAAACACAGGTTTGTAAGCCCATGCCCTCTTAACTTAGGAAGTAAATTGATAAAGGAAATGGATTTGCTTACTTTGACCAAACCAAGGAGGAAAGGTGAGCTCTTCCCACCTTTTCTGAAGTCCTGTCATGGTTTTATCCCTTCCAGGCAAAGTCTCTCTCTGGCTGGCACCAGACCTCAGCCTTCCTTCCCCCAACATATGGTTCCTGGTGGATGTTTAACTCTTTGGGGTTCACTACTCTAACAGTCTGACAGCCCAGGGGAGGGGTAGAAGTATCTCTCTTTAACATCTCCACTCCTGCCAGGATGGTCACACTGTTTGAATTCACATCATTCTTGTTCATTCTGAAGGTTCTCTCTGGACCATATTTGCAAAATAACAGAGATAATACTTTAGGTTATTTTCCATATGTAGTCTGTATTTTTCCCAAAGAATATAGATTACTTTAAAGGCAGCATTTACTGACCACTTACTGTCTGCCAGGTCTACACTAAGCACTCCACATACACTCCTGTATTAGCTACTTTTCTGTTGCTGTGATAAAACACCATAACCAAGACAACTTATAGAAGAAAGAATTTATTTGGGCTTATGGTTCAAGAGGGATAAGCATCCATCATGGCAGGGCAGCATGGCAGCATGCAGGCACAGAGGTTCAAACAGAAAGCTGAGAGAGCTCACATCTTCAAGCACATACGGGAATCAGAGCAAGACACACTGGAAGCAGGACAAGACTATGAGTTCTCAAATCAGGGCCCCAGTGACATGCCTCCTCCAGGAAAGCCACAACTCCTAAAGATTCCATGACATTTTCCAAACAGCACCACCAACTGACCAAGCGTTCAAATGCTTGAACCTTCAGAAGACACTTCTCGTTCAAATCCTTTAGTGCTCACCATTTTGGGATGGGAGGTGTTATTCCCAGCAAAGCATGAGAGGCACTGAGGATTCCGTATCATGGCCCAGGCGCCGTTCCCAGCACCCAGTGTCTAGTGACGTTTCTGTATCAATGGACTCCATTTCTGGGGACATTGTTGATGGGCACCTTCCTCCTCTCTGAGCTCTTATGTGCCACTATCCCTATCCGCAACCAAGTATGTCTTTTTGATTCACTGCAGCTGTGAGACAGCATTTATGGTCCAGAGAGAACATCTGCGCTGATAGAATGTACACAAGGTCATTGTGTAATGGCTGTGGAAACTCAGAGGTGACGGTCAGGAGGTCAGTTCTTTCTCAATCAAGGATGAAAGTCCTAAGAATGAAAAGCATCCTGGCTGAAGCTTGGTTACAAGTCATAATCCTCTTGTCTCTGTGGTAATCCACAGAGACATGAGGATTATGCATTTTCTATTATATCGTCACAAAATCACAAAACCACAAAAAAATCACAAAACCATAAAACACAACTGGAAGGGACCATAAGATCCATCATTACAATGTGAAACCTGTGACCTCCATGTGCCTCGTGATCATCGGAACCTGGAAAACACACCTCCCTCCTCCAACCACAAGAAAGAGTAAACTACCCCCACCTCTCAGTTATGGTCTTCTAAAAGTGCTCTTTAACATTTTTCAAGCCTTGGGTGTCATCAGCCAGACTCTTCCACTGATGTGTTTACTCAGCAGGTGTTTACTGAATACTTACAAGGGCAAGTCACTCTTGGTAGGCCAAATGACACAAAAATGGGTTAGCTAGAGTACAGAACCTGAAGGACCAGAGGAAGCCATGGACAGAAAGGGCAAGGCATCTGTGTAATGAAATAATTTTCACTCAGCAGTCTGAGAGGTGCTTTCCATGGGGAAATGCTGAGGTGGCCTTGTGGAAGAGGCAGACTTGTACTGCATTCTGACAGCCCAGAAGGTGGATATGGGCAAAAGAGGAGACTCAGGGCACAAGGGAGGCACAGAGCTGGGAAGCAGGAGCCTGTGATCTGGCTCCCCTTGAGAGGACCACCACTTAGGATCGCCCTTTATACCTGCCTAGCAGAAGTGTCCCTCTCTACCACCTGTTTCTCAAGGCCAGGACATTCCTGTGTGCGCCCAAGGGCAACCTGTCTTCTTTCATGGGAGACTCCAGGGTCTTTGAATACAGTGATCATATTCTATGTAATTTTTGTATCCATGGTGCCTCACACAGTACCTGACATAGCAACCTCTGCAAACAAGAGTTGGAAAAAAGAAAGGAAAGGCAGGAGGTGGGCACCTTTAATGAACAGGAGCTTTCACACTCCTTCTTGCCCTTTGTAACACATCCAAAATCCCAAGGCATTGATCTGTGTCCTAAGGTATAGGCTGGGAGCATCTCATGGTCAGAACCCTACAACAGTAGCTGAGTGATCTTGACTACATGTTCTTCTCCCACTGAACATGACTACACTACTGTAATCCTTGAGTTCAGAGGACAGATGGTTGAAGCTCTTGATTCTCCCCTAGTTTCTAATCTCCTGGACACCTGCATCTTCCTGAGGACAGAGATGGCAGGTATTCACCCTGTATCTCCACCTGTGTGCTTTGTACATAAACCTAGCACAGAATTCATTAAGTTCACGTGTTTCCCTAATAATTTCTAAATGTTAAGATGACCTCTAGGTCTATTTCATATTTTAGCAACAGTTATTGGTCTCAGCACTTTTTAAATTAAGATTAAATTAAATGGCTTATTAAGCCAAAACTCTGAGCTCCAGATATTGAAATTTCTATTACATGAAATACTTTTTGCCCAAACTATAATTTTGTAATCACAGTTCACTGAACTGATTGAATGGATCTACATTTGCACAGTCTTTCTGGTTAATAAAGACTAGCCTGAGCCAAAAACAAACTGGTTCAGATTAAGTCATGCTATGTGGGCTTCCCAATGTCAGTACAAAAACAGAATATTCAGGAGACACTAGAAACTGCTGGGAGACTAGAGCTTGGAGATCTTCATATTAATTAGTTAAATCAAATGGAGAAGGACATGAAGTGAACCAAGAACTTGGTAAATTCTGAAACAAAATGACCCTAAAGATCTTGTTCAGTGAGGACATGGAGCCATGACTCACTCAAACCCTCCAAATAGCAGCACACGGAAGTTGGGTCTTGTGCTGGGTGTTATGGGGCTCCTTGTCTAAATAACTCCTCCCAAAGTAGCCATGGCCTGAAAGCTCCCCAGTCAGATACAGAGAGCACCAGGCAAGCTGACGCACCTTTGAGACTGGCACATCCCAAGCCTCCTTTCACAATCAAGATAAGTAATGACCATCAGTACCACAAGTCACATAATACCAGAGTACAGTCAGCAAGATAAGTAATGACCATCAGTACCACAAGTCACATAATACCAGAGTACAGTCAGAAGTCCAGCATGGGATCTCCTAGCCATCTTCGAGGAAGGGTGCAGTCATCTGCAGATAGGGGTGTCCAGCTGCAGAAGACATTCACACAGGAACAAGCAGGTGACAGGCTGGGAAGACCTGAGGTTAACAGAACACGTGTCCAACATGGATGGAGGAACACAAGGCCGAAGGGAAACTGCACCTCTTTCTGCTGTGCCAGGATGTCCCCGTAGATGGATGAGAAACAGGCTTACGAACTGCAGCAGTGATGGTCTCTGGGCAGAACAGATTCCAGTGTGCACTTGGCAGCGGAGCATCTAGGAAGGATGTGTGTCCGTTATTTATATGCTGTCCCTGCTTAAGTTGATGGACTGCTTATAGGCTTCTGGCAGTGGCCCAGGCCAGGGAGTATGTCCAGTATGGGAGGCCAGGCTGGCAATGTCTTCAGCTGGCTAAAGTCTTGCTACAGATATGAAGAGTGTCTGTAAGGAGCCACACACACCCCAACAACTAGGTGACCACACAAAGGAGTTACATGCTAACACCCTGCAAAAAGCAAGACCTGGGACTGGAAGGGAGAATGTGAAGAGCAGAGCCTCCACTCAGATCTGTGGAATTCATCAGCAGGGAATCCCAAGAGAATCTATAACAAACCTTGAAAAACTCTCTTCACATTCTATAAAAGTCCACTTCAAATTTTAGAACGGTGCTCGTGTTTCATAGCAAATTTACATAGAATTAGAAATTAGAGCCAGGCATTGTGACGCACACCTTCAATCCCAGCACTCGGAAGGCAGAGGCAGGCAGACCTCTGTGAGTTCAAGGCCAGCCTGGTCTACATAGAGAGTTCCAGGTCAGCTGAGGCTACAGGGAAACCCTGTCTCAAAAAGACAAACAAAAAAATTAGAAATTAGACAAGATGACATGGAAAATGAATTCAAAGAGCCAAGTCAGCTAATCATGTATTTTACACATCAAAGGCCAGGGTTATATCAGGTTTTTTAAAAATGTACATTCTGATGGGCATCAGTCTTTATCTGCAGGTCTTGAGAACCAAATTAGGAAAGTATAGAGTCAAAGAGTAAATTGAATGTTCACTTCCAATTCCCTACAGTTATGGGAAGCTATTTACATGATAGTCACAGATTAGAATCACCCCTGTTCACTAAGTGGCCAAGCTCACCCCACCATGAGCAGCCACTCATTAGCACCCGTGACATACTTTATCTCACTCTGGCGCTGTCCAATTTATACCTGGGCCACAGCTCTGCACTACATTAAATCAATACTAAGAATGGCCGTATATTCATGTTGTGCTAAAGATTATAAATTGAAGTCTTTCATACTTCAGCAGAATTCCATTTTAAGAGGAATATGAAAATCAGGGATTAAAACTTCAAACTTTGTAAGATGGATTGGCTTTTCATTACAATTTCAAGAAACAAAATTGGTAAAATGACTGCATTTGTTCCTTGCTTCTGTAGTTTTGCAATGATAGTTTGACTAAAATGAGCTCCTTTAAATACTGTCACCAGTCACTCAGGTTACAGGATACAACAGAAACAGAAATTCCATCTGCCAGAAGCAAAACAGCACATCCTCTGGGGAGCCAGGGCTGTCAATCATGTTCCTGTGGGACACCAGTGTATCAGGGAGGGATGATGTATTTCCTGTTCCCTGGGAGACTCTCCTCAAAGCCCCGCCCACTTGAACTGCCCTGCCTCTGGCTGCCATCCCTCCCTCCACCACACACCTGAGGCACACCCTATTCCACTGCAGCTGAAAAGGTTAGTTTTCAAATCTGAAAATTCCAAATTCAAAATACTCCAAAATTCACCACTTTTTGAGCACTGACATATGTCACAAGTGGAAAATTCCACATCTGACCTCATGTGACAGGCCACAGGTGAAGCATGGGTGCATGAAGGCTGAGAGGCGTAGAAAGTACCAACCGGCCACCTGTAGAAGAAAGCTTACATGAAACACAAGTGAATCTCATGGTTAAACTTGGGCTTCATCCCCAAGTTCCCTCATTACGTATAAGAAAATATCCCCAAATCCAAAACAATCTGAAGTCCACAACCCTCCTGCCCCAAGCATTTCCTAAAGGGGACCCTGGACCTGGACCCTCGCCAGGTGCCTCTCATTTCCCTCCACGTTCCAGCCCTCCTCCCTTGCCACCTCCCTAGTCTGGCAGCCAAGTTGGATCAGTGGAGAGCAGCAAGCACTCTGGAGAGAGAGAGTCACAAGAGGACAGGGACCCACGGTGTACAGATGTCCAGGGCATGGCATGGGACCCCTTGCCTCTGCTCTCCTGGGGGACAGATCTCTAAGACACATGTTCCTCTCAACCTTGGTCATCTCCCCAGACAAGGTACACATCAGACAGAAGCAAGCCGGGGCTCTCTTCCAGCCAAGCCTGGGATAATAGACCCAGCCAGCAAAGTAGCAATGATTTGTGTGTCACATATTTGGTACAGGGTAGTTATCTGTGCTCTACAAAGAAGCTTCAGGGAGAAAGTTGCAGGAAGAATCCACCGGCTCTAAGAGGAAGTCAATGTTCCGTGAACCAGCTCCAGGGAAAGTGTACACATCATAAAGTCCTGAGCAAGGTGGCTCACTAACCCTAGGCAACTAATCCTGGTAAGTCAATGGTGACACGGGAGAGAAGAGCCTAATAACTGTGCCGTACAAGTGCTGAGGATAATTTCTCAGCTGTAGCCTAGCAAGAAAAACTGAACAGAGATAAAAGGCCCTGTGGGATAAAAGGGTTCCCACGGAATTCCGAATGGTTCCAAGGCCCTTGAGAGCTGGAATCCTTGAGGACGTTCAAGGGCCTGTGAGGAAGGACAGTCCCTTACTAAATTCTTTGTATGGATAAGATATATTTACTTTTTTTTTTTAGACAGGGTCTCCCTATAGTCCCAGCTGGCTTGGAACTCCCTATATAGATCAGGCTAGCTTTGACCTCACAGAGATTCGCCTGCCTCTGCATCCCACTGGGATTAAAGATGTGTGCCACCACACCCAGCTTGTATACTATTTTATAATTTAAGGTTTGCCTACCAAATGGGAATCAGAAAGCTTTGTAGCAGAAGCTAAGTCTTCCTGGTGACATGCTTACTCAGGTAACATTATCCTCACAAAGGGATCTGGTAAGCCAGAGTCTGACCTGCTGTGTGGCTGGTTCTCACACAAGCACAGGTATCTCCTTGGATGCCAGGACCTTCCTGTGTGGCAGCCTTCCACGTAGCTCCTCTGTACCTAAGATGCAACTCAACTGTTACCATAAAATAACTGCCCTCACCTCACCAGAGTATTTAATTTAACTCAACAAAATGGCAGATATCAATGTGCTTTGCTCAAAATTAAGGAATTACTCTCTTGGTAGTATTCACTCAGCCTTCTGGAGCCCATGGTTTCTCAAGAAGTGTGTGCTGGTGATTATTCAATCCTAGCTCACCTGAGTATCAAGATTAAACAAACTCCAGGCCCAAAATAAGGAGATTCCTGCAGTGCCCAAAACGTTGCTACACTAAAATAGCAACTTCATAGCTGGCATTTGGTCATCATCCATTCATCTCCTGAGCTGGAGATAAATAGAAACTTCAGTTGATGGACGTGTCCAGCAGAGTCCACAGGAAGCTCTGTCCCCAGCAGAGAGGCATGATGGCAGCCCTGGCCACTGATCCCTGGAGACCGATGTTCTTGCCTTTGCTCTGACTGGACCCTGACCATTCCTGTGTCCCGCAGTTCTCGGCAAGATCAGGAGTGCCGTGGGAAGTGCCCAGCTGCTCATGTCACAGAAGTTCCAGCAGTTCTATTGGCTCTGCCAGCAGAACATGGTAAGTAGCTCTGAGTAATCCACCCATGTGACAGCTGAGATGGGTCTGGTGTACATTCTCACAGCTACCTTGTTGACTGAGGTGCCCCATGCAAGGGGATAGCCATGATTCCACCCAGAGAACATGGTCTGGTCCTAGACTCATACCCCAGCCCTATGGAGATCCACACCCCAACCCTGGGAACCTATACCCATCCTCTGGGACTTACACCATCACCCTAGAGACCCATGTCAGGCTCAGAAACCCACATATCTAGCCCTGGAGATCCATACCCCAGTTCTGGAGACCCACACAACCAGCCTTAGGGACCAATGCTCCAATTCTGGAAACTCACAGACCCATCCCTAGTTATATAAAATATATATATATATTCCATCTCAGGGACTCATACCTCAGACTCAGATTTCATTCCAAAACTGGGCCCAGTCTGAGGAGGGCATGTGGGTAAGGTGGGAAAGTCCAGCTGCAACTCCAGTACAGGATTTTCTTTCGGACAAGAAGATAAGAAATAAACTGCTGTGGTGGTCAAAGTCACAAGTAAAGAAATGATCTGTGGGGTGCCGAATAAAGGCACAGAAACAGCTGCTGATAAAAAGATTAACGAGATCCTAGAAGTCATTTGGCCTTTATCTATCTTACAGTTAGGATGGAAATGAATATGCCCTGAGCTAGATTTGTGAAAAATAAGAGAGAAAGGAGACACCTGCATTTGTGTATAGACTCACATACCTGCATGTTGGTGCTTGCTCACACACCCACTCATGCTTACACATACTTACGCATAGATATTAACATATGCAAGGACCCATTTATTACACACGCACACACAATTGGCTTTTCTATTTTTTTTTTTTTGTCTTTTTGAGACAGAGTCTCCCTGTAGTCCCAGCTGATCTGAACTCACTATGTAGACCAGGTTGGCCTTGAACCCACAGAGATCCACCTGCCTCTGCCTCCTGAGTGCTGGGATTAAAGGCATGCACTACCACGCCTGGCTTTTCTTTTTAATGTTTTTTTTTAATTTTTATTTTTATGTGTATGAGTGTATTGCCTGCATGTAAGTGTACCTATGTTGTGCTATGCCTGTGGAGATCAGAAGAGAGCATCGAATTCCCCTAGAACTGGAATTACTGATGGTTGTTAGCTACCATGTGGGTGCTGGGAATTGAACCCGGGTCCTCTGCAAGAGCAACCAGTGCTCTTAACCACTGAGCCATCTTTCCTGCACCGGCTTTTTTTTTTTTCAGATTTACTTTTTATTTTTAACTCTGTGTGTGTGTGTGCCTGAGAGAGGGTGTCAGATCACCTGGAGCTGGAGTTTCAGGCTATTGTAAGCCACCTGACATAAGTGCTGGGACTGACCTCAGTTCCTCTGCAAGTGCAGTGCTCCCTCTTAACTATCTCTCAGGACCCAAAACTTGTTTCTCATTGTCTGACTAAAATATTTGCATACTTATGTGAGAAACAGCTATCTCACATTCATAGTTCTTTATAGGCAGTTTTATAATCCAGGCACTTATTTCTCTCTCTCTCTCTCTCTCTCTCTCTCTCTCTCTCTCTCTCTCACACACACACACACACCACACACACACACCCACACACACACATCCAACATTTTCAGTAGAGGCAGTAAGCTTGGCTGGGCCTGTTGTGGCCAGGGCAGCATGCGTTCCAACTGTGTTCTGCTTGTTAAATGATATGGAACTTAAAAGATATTCAATCCTCAGAGCTGTAGCTCCAGGCCTGTCATTAGGGTCACTCAGGAGAGTGTTTTCTCTAACGTTTGACAGCCAGCCTATGAAAGTTCATCAAGAGGTTTACAGCTACACACCGTCTTTGGGGTAAAAGTTTGTTGACGTTTAGAAGGCCATCAGGAAGATTTGCTTCCTTTAAAAAAGGTGAACCTGGATAAGTATTTGACTGTTATGCATTCTGGAGATATTCCTGCCTTCCTCTGCCTAGTATCTTCGCATTGTCTGTACAGAGATTGGTCTGACCAGAGGGAGTTCTCATGCTGCAGTCAGTGTGTCCCAGCAGCCCATGGGGCTTAGTCCAGACCACGCTGCACAGGGGGGCAAACTTCACCTTCCATTCTGTGAAATGCTCATCTTTTCTCCACCAGAAGCAGCTAATTTAGCCTCAAAATTATCTATCCTGACATCTCTGATGACTTTCAAGTTCAAAAACGTCTGGCTTGGCTACTTCCAGAGCTCTGAAAGTAGCTCTTGTTGGGGAAGGGTGTCGGGAGGTACAGGCTAGAAATCGAGCAGCTGCCTTGCCCTCAAAGCCAGTGTGGTCCTCGTGCCAGGAACGCTCCTTGGTGATAGCTGATCTAGGCAGGTTGCCAAGCTATATGTCTAAGAAAAGACTCTATTAAAAAAAAAAAAAACTGCGCGTATGTCTTCACGGCGAGCACATGTGATTTGTGATGTACCTATAGTGTAGGTAACCCTCTTGCTCCCATACACACAAGAAAGAAAGGGGTGTCTCGGAGCTGAGAAAACTACCCCCTGCAGAAAAGCCTGAATCACCAGGCACAGCCCCAACACATTTGTGTGGCTGATTGGCGCCCTCTCGTGGTTGAACAGAGAACAGCCTCAAACAGGAGAGCCTGGCTGGGGATCCCACTTAATGTGAGGAAATGGGTCATTTCACTGTGCCAGTTTGCCTTCTACCCTGTCCTAGTTTGTCTCTCCATTGCTGTGACAAATCACTCTGACCACTACAAACTTGGGGAGGAAAGGGTTTATTTGGCTTACATCTCTCTGGTCACAGCTCATGCGGGCGCCCAAGGTAGGAACTCAGGGCAGGAACCTGGAGGCAGGAGCTGGAGTACAGGCCATGGAGGAACGCTGCTTACTGGCTTGCTCCCCTGGCCCCTGCTCAGCCTGCTTTCTTATGCAACACAGGCCCACCTGCCCAGGGGTGGCACCACCCACAGTGGGCTGGGCCCTCCCACATCACTTATCAAGATGATGCCCCTCAGACATAGCCACAGGCCAGTCCAATAGAGGAAATTCCCCAATTGAGGCTCCCTCAACCCAGGTGTGTCAAGTTAACGCTAAAGCTATCCACCCTATGACCCTCACTGGTGGTACAGGTGGCCATTTGGGTGGCCATTTGGGTGGCCATTTGGACACCCATGAAGATGGGATGACATCTAATAGAGATAGTTTCTGTGTGAGGGTCAAGCTAGGTTAAGGAAACTGTAAACCAAAACAATGCTCACTGGTAAACAGAAAGCTTCCAGTTTTAAGCAAATTCAGACAAATGTCTGGTTGTATAAGGCAGCAGTCTGAGCCAGGCTTACACTGAAGCGAGAGAACCACACATAGACTGATCACTCTGTTATCAGAGTAGAAACGGATGGGACCAGACACTGTGAAGGAATCAAGTGCCTTTGGGGCCCAGGACCAGCCTGGGGTTGCCCATGGATAGGATTGGGTGGCACTCCCTGAGCAGGCTAATTCAGGAGCCTTTTTGTGAGATCCCCTGTCCCTTCAAGAGCTTGATTTGCCTCTACATGGGAGGAAACCAAATGCCCTTTACTTTTTAAGATGTACTTTATCCCTCAGAATTAAGTTAGGATCCATCAAAATAAACACACTGAACTAAGTGGCTGCCAGCCCAGTGGCTTTACCACTGCAGCAGACACAGCCCTGTCACTTCTGAATAAGTCATGGGGCTCTACTGTTCTATGAGCTGCAAATCCTTTAAAGGATGGAGCCCAGGGGGCTTGGGCATGCTGGGCAAGTACTCTCCACTGAGCTGTACACACACACACACACACACACCAACATTTTCAACCTGAAACAATGAAGGAACATGCTACATATTTTAAACTGCTAGCCCATAGTTGGGCAAAGGTTAACTTTTCTGTTTCTAGTGAACCAGGCTTCTCCTGCTCCCATTTCTTGAGAGACACGTAGGAAAGCACAGCTCCTAAGCTCTCTGTGTTCACAGGACCCGAGTGCCATGCCGAGGCCAACGTCACAGGACCTGGCAGGCTACTGGGACATGCTGCAGCTGTCTGTGGAGGATGTCAGCATGAAGTTTGATGAGCTGCACCAGCTGAAGCTCAATGACTGGAAGATCATAGAGTCACCTGAAAGAAAGGTAAGGGAGCCATGTGGTGTGGCGACCGCACACCCAGTTCGCGGGTTTCCCTGGCTCCTGATCCAGTGCTGGATGATAGCTTGTTTCTCTACCTTTAGTTAGCATATAAGATCAAATTGCATATCTCTCGCTCTGTGTGTGTGTGTGTGTGTGTGTGTGTGTGTGTGTGTGTGAGATGCACTGTGTACAAATGGGGTCCTGGATATGTGTATAGCAGTGGCTGTCTTGCTGTGTCTCTGGCACACAGACAACTCCAAGACACCAATGAAGATCCCACAACTATAATCTAGTTCCCGCTGGGGAGAAATCCTCTGACTCATTTTCATCCAATGTTTGTTTAGATTGTATTAAGATCATCTCCCACAGGTAAGGTCTTAGGTCTAGCTAAGATGACAATCTTCTATTCTTGGTGCATGTAGGAAGTTAGAAACAAGAAGCATTTAAGCCTTATTGAGCAGTCTAGAGGTGCGATGTTCCTATGGGGCTTCAGCCCCAGTCCTTAAATAGGCTGCAATTTTGCAGTGCATATGAAGAAAATCAGAGAACACTGGCTCCCTACTTCATGAAGCCATCAGCTCAGGAGTGCAGCAGCAGACAGCCTGAATCAGCAGCACATGCGTTGACTTACAACACTCCCTAGAGAAGGAACCATGGTCTGATTTTTCTAGACATATATTGTCAATTAAATTAAGTTATAGCTCGAGGAGCCAGCAAGATGTCTCAGTGGGTAAAGATGCTTGCCACCAGGCCTGAGGACCTGAGTCTGATCCCCAGAACCCTCATGGTGGAAAGAAAGAACCAACTCCTGCAAGTTGTTCTCTGGCCTCCACTGTGGCACACCACACACACACAATAAATATAATTTTAAGACATTTAAGTTATAGCTAGACGCGGCATATGCTTGTAATCCCAGCACTTGAGAACCTAAGGCAGGAGGAGGGTCATGAGTTTTAGGCCAACCTAGGCTACATAGTGAGACCCTATCTTAAAAATTGTCTTAGTTTGTTCTTCATCGCTGTGACAAAACACTCTGACCACTACCAACTTGGGGAGGAAAGGGTTTATTCAGCTTACATCTCCTAGGTCACAGTTCATCTGGGAGCCCAAGGTAGGAACTCAGGGCAGGAACC